AAAACCCTTTATTTATCGGTAAAATAAACAGTTTTGAGACCTTTTAAGCGACCATGTGCGCAAGTGGCGGACACTTTATGAAATATTCGGGGGGGGGGGAGGGGGAATTTCTCGTGCCGAAGGCACGGAAAATTTTAAAATTTGAATCCCGCAAATGGCATTTGCAGCATTCTGAGACACGCATAATCAGAAAACCCAGAATTCCGGGCGCCAGAGTATGCCTGTTCACAGGTAGTGCTGTAAATAATATAGTTTAACAACAAAAATCATGACCAAAGACACCAAAAACGGATCAAAATTGGGAATCGACTCACATTACTTCAATCCCATTCCCATTTTTGAGGATTTCATTTCCCATTCCCAGTGGCCAAATCCCAGTCCCAGCAACCCAAATCCCATTTTCCCAGTCTAAAATAGATCAATCCCAGTTCCCATTTTACCCCCTTCAGGGCCCTCCTATATCACTTGTGGGATCTTTACGGATTTGAAAAGAGAGCAAAAAGTTATTTAACAAGTTCTTCAACCTTTTTTGATTTAGTTCAATAGTTTCTGAGATATAGGCCCTCAAACATTGCAAAAGCTGTTATCGTAATTGAATACACCGCTGCGGCATCCCAGCGGTAACTCAGTGGAAGTACGCACGAAAACGAGGCTAAAGTGTCAAAAAACACACAAAACATCATGACCCTATAGCCTCGTCTCGATGTTAAAAACAGGGTGGACTTTTGTCGACGCTGAATAAAAATAGTGCGGGCTCGTGAGCTTTTCCCCGCAAATTTAGCTTTTTGTTGTTTTGCTTACAATTTCTAAGGATGTTGAAGTTTTCTGCATTGTGATTCACTGGTTTTTGAAAGCATGGGTTTTTTTCTTTGGAACTTGCAGGCTAACTCTTCAACAACCTATTGACTGTTTTTAAAGCAAAGCAATTGAAAGAAAAACTTATATTTTCATACGAAGAAGATGAGTGGCGATATTTATGTTGTGCTGTTTTGAGCAGATGCTTCGAAGAACATGATATGATCGGTCCTCTGGAACCAGGGTACCTGGTTCTCAGCACGGTTAAAGAAATGAGGGAAGTGACCTTTCTGAAGCTCTGTGAGACCAAACTTTTTCGGGAAAGCGGCGAGTTTCATTGGGATAAAGCAGAGGGAATCGATGAATTTAATGTTCATCTCTGACACGGTGAACGAAAGGATTTTTGCGCCACGTGTAATAATCTCAGGTGTGATACCATTCTTGTAGAGATAGTGGAGAATAAAGTACCCATCGTAGGCCTGGAAATTATGTGCGACAAACGTTGTGTTGGCATTTTCCTGTTGAAACATCCACTCGCAGAACTCGTCTTTAGTGTTTGGGCCAGAAAAGACTTTCTCGTCACCGCTTTCGTTTTGGACTACGCACAGATTGGGGATGTGCTTACCATCGTCTGGCGTGCATTCGAAGTCGAATAACATCAAGTTTTTGGTGTCTTCCACGTCATTATCCACAGCCACATGATTATCTAAGAATTCTTTTCTTTCTACAGCTGATCGTATCTTTTTCGCCTTTACAGATTGAAGATAACATTGGTGGTTTTCAGGCTTGACGTATATTTGACAGGTGGAACATCTGACTTTGCCACAATGATAATCACGAAGACTGGCACGAGTAACAACACGTTTGCATTTCTTGCATTTAATTAAAGCACGACACAGGGATTTGGCAGGACCGGCGTAATCTTTATGGCGACTGAAGCACGCTTCGCTATTAAAGAAGCGGTTACAGTCTTTGCAAACAGTTCTGGGTGTTACACAGCTTGCAAAGATCGCCACACGGATGACTGCTGATTTTATCGAATCCCTTCTTGCATTTATGGCAATACTTTTTACGGGCGAGAAAGGCAGGCATACTTGTGATGACATCGTAATGGTCGTAGTAATGGTACAAGTATACAGTGTAGGTGTTTACCAGCTTCAGGACCGGAACAAATCATAGCGTTTAAATGTTCCTTGGAGATCACGTTGGAACTTTTTTACTTCCGGGATGGCACAGGGACCAAGAGGAACACCTGCAGACGCGTGGATTTCTTGGGCTAAACGATCTTGCAGTGTCCCAGTGCGACTAACGATGCTCTTGTACTGCGGATCGTTATCCAATTTTGCTTTGGCCACCGCAATCGCGCGGGCACAACAGAGATCATCTTTGTTTTTTATTTGAACTATTCCTCGTTTTTTCGTCAAATAATTTTCCAGGTTCGCAACATCACGTCGTTTTCGACCAGCCCTGTTGGGCATTTCGACATGAACCACATTGACGCTGACAGCGTCGTCCAAAGTAAATTGATCATTGGATTACACGACGCGTTCGACGGCAGCCAAAAAAGTTCAGGCTTTAGGTAGGTAGGTAGGTAAAACTTTATTTTACTATGCTAACCCCTACAGCAAAAGCTGATTTCCAAGGGGGGCGTAGCATTAAATTCAAAATTACATTAAAAATTTAGAAAAGTTAATCATACAAGTACAGTTACTTACATGCAGTTATTACAATTACATACATAATTAAATAGATAATAGTACATACAATACATACATACATACATACATAATAGTAAATATTAATAGATTAAATAGTCAAGGTAAATATGGGTTTGAAAACTCTAATTGGTAGCCAGGTGTCATACGTTTTTATTGAATATAGCTAGTGATTCTTTTCCTCTTAATTTATTTCGAAGACTATTTTTAAGATATTCAGTCTTAGGCTTCGGAAAATGGAGTTTAGTGAAAGAGCCCCGCAAATTATAATGCTGGGAGGAAGACGTCTTTTGAAAAATATCAGTAAGTCGTAAGGGCGCTAGATCATGAGTAATTTTATACATCAGACTTGCCACAAACTGGGTTTCTGCGTTCGCTCAGAGGCTCTCAGTTTAATTCATTTAGAGCAAGTTCAGATTGACCATGTTCATTTTTACGACCCACGATAGCTCGAGCAGCCCTATTTTGTAATTTCTGGAGACGATCAGAAAGTGTGGTACCAATGGTGTCCCAAACAGCCAAACTTCGCAACAATAATCAAGGTGAGGCAAAACAAGTGCATTATAGGCACGAATTAATGTATTACGGTCTACACATGATTTTAACTTTCTGATTGCCCCAATTCCGGATGAAAATTTTTTTTGCAATTTTATCAATATGCTTTTCCCATGATAGAAATTCCTCAATATAGACTCCAAGTGCCTTTGTTTCTCTTACCGTTTTAATTGGTATGTCACCAACAAATACCTTTGGGGTAGCCAATATATTATTAATATTATGCCGTGATCCAATTAGTATGTACTCAGTTTTAACGAGATTTAAGGATAGTTTATTTGCACAGAGCCACTAATTAACGTTTGAAAGATCGTGATTGATGGCAACTTCTACATCATGAAGAGATTTACCAGATACAGTTAACGTTGTATCGTCGGCAAACATTCTTGATGACAAGTGTTCAAGACTTGTAGGCAGATCGTTTATACAAATTAGAAACAGGAGTGGCCCAAGAATTGAACCTTGGGGGATCCCACAAGTAACTAGATTTTTTCTAGACAATACGCCGTTCACAGTACACATTTGAAATCTGTTTTCTAAGTATGATCCTAAAAGATTTAGGGCAGGTTTTTGTAAACCATAAAGGTCAAGTTTCTTAATCAATATATTATGATTTATAGTATCAAATGCTTTCTGCAAGTCAATAAATACTGCAATATTGAATTGACCACGGTCCATATTAATGAACCATTCGTTAGTACTGTCCAAAAGGGCAGAAGCTGTAGAATGGAACTGCCTAAAACCAAATTGATTTTGAGACAACAAATTATTAACAACAAAATAATCATATAGTTGACTATATAAAACTTTTTCAAAAACTTTACTTACTATAAGCAGAATGGAAATTGGGCTATAGTTATTCAACATGTTTCGAGGGCCATTTTTGCGTAAAGGGATAACTCTCGCTAGTTTTCACTCTGAAGGAACAGTTTCAGTATAGATTGCCGTATTAAAAATTCTTGTCAGTAAATTTGCATTATTGGCGCAGCAATACGAATAATTTTATCGGGAATTTTATCAATTCCGGTAGATTTACAAAGATTTAAAGAGGAGAGAAGTTTGTATACTTTGGTTTCAGACACTGTTTGAAACTTGAAACTACTTGTTGCTTTTGTTATGTAATCCGTGAAATTCCTATCAGTATTGCCAATGGTTGTGGCAATTTTTGGACCAATGTCAGTAAAGTGATTATTAAAGCGCTCCGCTAATTCATTTGGACAAGAAATTTGACCATTCTGAGTATGGATACAATTTATTTCGTGACATTTTTGTTTCCGGTTAAGGATTTTATTAACGGTTTTCCAAGCTTTTTTAGGGTCATGTTTGACACTTTCAAATTGTGCTTTATAATATGCTGTTTTTGCTTCTCGCAGTGTACTAGTTATATGGTTTCTATAAGTTTTATATGCAGTCCAGTAATTTTCTGAATTGTATTTAACGGCAAGGAATTTGAGACGATTCCGTTCACGTATTTGTTTTTTTATTGCATTAGTCAGCCAAGGAATATTTGCTATATTTCTGACTCTCTTTTCTCTAATTGATGCATGCTTATCTAGAACTGACAAGAAAATAATTTTCCATGTTTCCCACATCCTGTCAACGCAGAAGTTATTGTCCAACAATTCCCATTCCTGATTGCTCAAATCCATTACGAAATTTTCAGCATTAAAATACTTAATATTTGAATTTCGACTTTCTTGTGGCGGTTGTTTTATTTAGGACGAATATTAAATTTACGAACAACTAAAATTATATAGTGATCGCTGATAGCAATCTGCACCACTTTAGATAAGACTAACTTATCTGGAGTTGGGGTGAGACAAACATCCAACAGGGTAGATGAAGTCATGGTCACGCGAGTGGGTGATCTTATTGTTTGTGTTAACTGATATAGTTCAATGATTGAATTTAAGTTTTTTGTGGCATTATTTGAAATGTCAAGCGTATTGGCATTTAAATCAACAAGCATGTAAAATTCCTTATTCTCATCATCTATAAGTTTAATTAGTTGCTCAATATTGTCAAAAGAGTCGACAGAAGCACCTGGAGGTCTATAAATGGTACCAACAATAAACAATGCAGAAGAGGGTTTGTTAACCTCAATACAAACTGCTTAAAGATTATCTCTAGTCAGATCTTTTCGTTCGAAATAATTAATGGAATTTCTTATATATAAACAGAACGCCTCCCCCTGTTCTAGAGCGATCGGCCCTAATTAAATCATAATTGTGAATAAACATATCCTGATTGGTAATATTATCATCTAGTGTTGTCTCATTTAGTGCGAGAATATCGAGACATTTTTCAGCTAATATTACTCTAATTTCCTCTATATGTTTAGGTATAAGCTAGCTATATTAAGCATACCCATTTTAAAAACCCTTTACATTAGGTAAGCATGGGTTAGTCGGTATCTGCCTGTTTCCACCTGGCTGTACATTATATCAATTTAAGCGCAAATGATTGCTATAATTCTTACTAATAATTGAGCTTCCGTTTTTATTTAAGTATAAACCACGCCTATTTAAACAAGTATAGTCAATGTTGCTATTATCTAATAAGTATATAGGTCCAATTATTTTCAATGCACATGCATTTAAGTATATCATTAACATGTTTTATTTTGTTTTGAATAGAATGTCTGTCTTTCCTGACAGTTATACTTGAGAAGCTTACTTTGGTACGTGGCAAAGATTCTTTAACCTGAGTACCCAGATTCAGGATACCAGCTGCAACCATTTCTGCTGTCTTCGAATGATCTTTTACATCGTTGGTACAAGTGGTTTAAGGAAGTCACGCATATCTTCGGTTTAGCTTCCTGAAAATGATTTTACCGCTACTCGCCGTTCAGCATCAGATAACTCCCAGCCGTGGACATGTAGGACTATTGCAGCTCCAGCTATAAATACAAGCTTACTAGGTTGATTTGTAGTGCCCTTTTGGGATGTAGCGGCTCTCTTCGAATTCGCAGTACGATAACTACGATTATTACCATTGGACGATTATTATCTACGATTATTATCTACGATTATTATCATATCGCGTTGCAAGAAAGGCAAGGAAATGGTTCGATCCAGCTGATGCGAGTTGAGGATCAGACGAACCTGATCGTGAGGAGCCATATCACTCGCCAGACGATCAAACAAGTATTGAAAAGCACTGTTTAACGTCGACATGACGTTTGCCACCCCGTGAACATTTAAGGGGCGGAGTTGGACAGTGTAGTCTGTATCTAAAAACCGTAATACACTATTGTACTAACCAACTAATAGCAATCAGAAAGTCCCAAAATTTCATGAAAATGTCCTCTAATAGCCATCACTAATTGGACATACAGCAATAATAATCATAACTGTAACATTATTACCCAGTAATATAGAATAATTCACTAAAAAAGAATACCAAGAAAACGGGAGGGTGGGTTGTACGAACAAGGCTATTTATCGAACGGTGCTACTTAAAATTTTAGCTATAATTCCAATCATAAGCCCTGTAAATACTAAAGCTTCATTTGAGAGTTGGCCATTTATAAAAAGCTTATCCGTTGGACAACCTTCGTACAGCCAACTACATATGTACACACAAGCAATAAACACGTTTCTTATAATAAAACAATCTATATCCCACACGTAACCGATGTTACGCTTAAAAATACACGCTTAAAAATATAAAAACAGTTTAATGTGTACCTGTCGTCCTGAATTTCTTCACGTTGACTTGCTTGACCGATTTAATAGTGAAATACTCCTCTGGTCTTTAGCGTTTTGAAGGGACGTCCTCATTGCTCCCTTCACCCATTTGGTTATCCGACGGTTCAGGCAACTGTTCGAGCTCGCACAAACCTTCGTGATTTTACCAGTCCGCGATAAGTTGAGAGCGTTGATCCTCGGTCCAATTATTCATGAGGCCATCAAGAACACCAACTGGATTCTCCCGTGCAATATCTTCAGCCATAGCATTCGTCCAGAATATAATGCGCGGCTGAAGAACAGCTTCCCTCTGCTCATCAGTGCGGAGCACAAACGACTCCTGAAGAAAGTCAAGCTCACTTTTGGGCTCACAAGCCTTGATCAGATCCAGCATATTAATCTAAAACAAAAATTATTCAGAAATGCAGCCTATGAATCTGAAAATATCATAACACATATTCAAAACGCTATGTTTACTTACCGAATGAGCCATTTTAAAAACAATTCAACTCAATCCACCAGAAAACACTTGAGAACCAGAGAATACTTGTCAAAATGCAACAGTGAGAAATGAAATGTGTATTCGAAACACAATATTTATAATCTCTGATAACTTACGTTTCATCGCGTTACTGTGTTGTGATGGTAGCTAATTAGGCTTGTTACTGTGTTGTGCCGCTAATTGGTCGCTTTGTTGTGTTGTGCCGCTTATTGGTCTCGTTACTATATTGTAATGTTAATTAGTCGCGTTACCCGATACGTTTGGCCAGGCTTGCCCAGCAAAGTGACGTCATAGATTTTGCAAGCTTATTATAAATTCAGCCAGAGTGTTAGCTGAACAAAGTGACGTCATCGGCGGTATCCCTTTGAACTCCATAGTGGTGGTGGGGGGGGGGGGCTATTACTACTCTCAAATTCAAATTGTCCAATGAAAAAACAGCACTTGTACTACGTACGTGATCATGTAATTTTTTACGGTATTTCACTCAAATTCATGATTTTGCAATGCAGCGTGAGTAGTGAAACCCCCCACTATTGAGACCAAAGGGATGCCGCCAATGACGTCACGCTGCTCCGAAAGTAATTAGTATGCAAAATATGTGACGTAACTTTGCTGGCCCTAACCCTAACCTTGGGCCAACTGTGACAGGTAGCACGACCAATTAACGCGGGCAGGCCTGGGCCAAATGTGGCAGGTGACAATTAGCATCACAACTAGTTTCTGACAAATTTGTAATAAAACGACAAGAGGTTTCTCATAGTTTGCATGTATAAAA